TTTTTCAAAATCAGGTCAATCTTATTTTCTTCATTATATAAACATTTTCCCTCTTTTGTTCGCACTATATTTCTAATTTTCATAGAACATTACCTCAACAAAACTCCTATTTTGAAGCATATCTTTAATAATGAGCCCAAGCTGCTGAAATTCTAAGTACGCTTGTTTGAAAGTTTTTCCAGTCAGAYGTTGTGTTGTTATTTTGTGCTGGGTATGAGGCATCAGAGGTAGTTTGTGCACCACAGCAGCCAATGCGAGGTCTACTCTSTGTCTGTGTTAAGAAGCTGACTGTGGCTCACCTGCAGGTTGGAGGAACCGGTCCACAGGCGTCCAGTGTCCGTGAAGACGGCCAGGTATTTGTAGCTAAAAGAAACAGACATCTGGACGATGCTGCCAGCCTGACCGAGACCTGGAGGACACTGAAAACATATGGGACAGGTATCAGACAGGTAACTAAGCAGATCTTGCCCGGTCACCTGTCTGGCTGCCTCACCACCGCAATGCAGGAGGTATTATCCAAGACATAGAGTTCTGGCCCGATGGACAACAAAACTTTAGTCTGTCTGTCCTGAGTGAGGACGACCCAACTGGTCGGCTTCCCCTGTAGACCTAATGGGACAGAGTCAGAGTCAGGTGAGGAACTGGTTGGTCCTCTGGTGTTAAACTGGATGCTAACAGAACAGTGGAGACTTCTTTACCTGGAACTTCAGGTAACCGGCGAAGCTTCAGATCTTCAATGTTGGTCGTCAAGGTGAAGCGGGAGGAGCCTGTTAATATGGCAATACCTGTTCCATAGGGAGAGTGGAACACCTTGGCCTCCAGYACTTGACTCTGGACCACTTCCTGTTTGGAACAACACACTCAGTTACCCAGTCTGACAGACTCAACTACCCCATACTGAACAAGCTAACAGGCTTGCCTGTTCCTTAACCAACTAGTTTAGSAGTGAGGTTCACCTGCCCTCCACTGAACTAGTCAACAGTCAAACTAAACTTAGAAGAAAAGGTAAAGAAATTAGAGTTTGGTGGATTATKTCTTTGTTGTAACAATGCTTCTTGGCAATAAATCTGATACAGTTGGGAAACCTGTTAAAGGGATCCATGATTAGTTGTAACATTAGACTTTACTTGATAAACATATATTTTAACTGTAATATAAAGAC